GGGAAAATCTGGGAAAATTTCTTGGACCCTTCAAACAAGTTACATTGAATCTCTCCTCTCCCTTTGATGTACATGGGTGCTTTAGACATAATCCCAAGGGAAATTTTGACGACATGATTCTACTTTCTTTACCATATTTTAAAAAGAAACAATAACAGGGACTAAAGGAAAGACATGAATAGTATAGTGCTTGTCTACTTTGACTGTTTGATCAGAAAAACAAAAAGTACCATGAAAGAAAACCTTTGTTAATTAATTAGTCTTTCTTCACCGCCATTAGAGGAAAGGAATTTCTTAGTGGCAAATTATGTGGTAGCTTCTAACAAAGTATACTGTTCCAAGATTTGGGTTGAGGTGTGCTTTTGACATGCACCAACCAGTTGAAGAATTAGTAAAAGGGACGGAAAATGGAAGGAAAAGAATTGGGGGAGGAATGGAATTGGATGGGAAGGAAAATTATATGGCTCAACCATTTCAAGGCTTGGCCTTCATTTGACTGCAAAAATCACTTTTTATTGTTTATTTAAATTTTAAATTCTATATAAATAAATACGTCAAAATTTACTTACACATCATATTTGAATATTTTCATTTTATAGAATATACCTTTAACGATAGAATATACAGTTTGAATATTTATAACAGTCAATTTCTCTCTCATTTCCTCTCTTTTATCTAAACCCTTATTCAAAATATACAGTTTGAATATTTTTTTCTCTGAAAATTTTTAATTTTCCTTTCTTTGTTATCTCCTAATTTTCTTTACCAATGGAGTATCTTGCACACCACTCATGGATCATGCATAAACACAAAACTCGTGAAAGAAGGCCATATGTGAGTCATATTCTATATTCCAAAGGCAAAGTATACTTCTATATTTATTAATGAAATTACTTGTAAATTGGGAAAAAACTTTTTTAAATATTACACTTGTCTTATCAATGTTTTAATTATTTTGCATAGACCAAATCTTAGTAGATTCATTAATTACACTGTAATTTAATCCTTTTATTAATGAATATTCTTGTAGTCGATTTGGATTGAATTTATTAGTTAAAATTTTGTGAAGTTCTTCATTTAAAACGATTAAATAAATATTAAAATTGTTAAACTACCATAGGTTGAATAAAGGAACAGCACAACCCCTCCTGTGCATATCTGCATATAAAAGCTTGATAACAGCGTATAACGATTGTATTTGGAATCAAATTAAACAATAAATCTTACACTTGAACATTTGATTTATTAGTTGATATATGATTTCTTTGTTTAAAAAGTAAGGTTCAAATATCGCTTTTTCTAATATATTTTCTTATAAAAATTTAGGATAAGTTACGTTCATAGAATATTATTACAATGACATTTTAATCGAATATAAAAATAATATTATTTTATGATATCATGTCATATGAAGGAGCAAATTTAATGAAGAGTTCAACAATTCTGACTCTAATTTCTCCAAGGAAGTAACTGAGAAAGCATGAGAGAACCAAAGTACCAAAACCGACGGCCAATCAAACAGGCCCAAAGCTATTTCCTCGACATTCAACGTTGGAAGAAGCAAGGACAAACAGACATCCGACCACGTGCAAAATTGAAAGCTTCTTCAAGGGATATAGAAGCAGACAGCTCCAAACATGTTGTCCCCAAGGCATCTATATCACTTTCAAAGCCATTGTCATTACCATGGAAAACCGCCTACCACAGTCAGCATACTGCCTTTAATTACGCGTTGAATTTTAATAATCTAATTTGATTTTGTACTTTTATGATATCTTATCAAACCCAACCCATTTTGATTAATCGTTTAACTGTTTATTTTTTTCGTCAACGGTTGTCCATAGTAACTTTGATGAGTAATTTGATTTTTATCCGTCTTATACACTGTTATTCATCCCAACTAAATAAGTTAAAATTACCAACACAATTGAATAATACTTAATTAACGTATGTCACAAACTCTATTTACATTCAATATAGTATCTAATAAACAAATCGATAACTAAAATTTAATATAAAATTAGTTTAAATCTACATCTTTTCGTTAAAATAAAGTATCAACATCACAAATTTGTAATGATTTTATTAACGTTAAATATTCAAAAAAGCCTCTGAACTGTGACAAAAAAATCAATTAAACTCTTATTCTTTTATTACTTTCAAATAAGCTTTTAAATTGTTATTTCGAATTCAATAAACTCCTCTTTCTAATCATTGATTAACTTTCATTAGTCAACAGTATATGTAACACTTTTATTTCATGTCATCTACTATATAGTAGATGATGTGTCATCAAATATTATTAATTAGGATTGAGTAAATGGATAAAAAAATAAACACATAAATCTTAATTAATAATATTTAATGTCACATCATCTTATATATGACAGATAACATAATATAAAAGTACTACATTTATGGTTAATTAATGGATGTTAGTCAATGATTAGGGAAATGAGCTCATTTAATCTGAAATAAAAATTTAATAATTTAATTGAATATAATAAAAAAATAAGAATTGAATTGATTTTTTCTAACATAGTCTGGAGACTTAATAAGTATTTTAACTTTTTAATAAAGATGAGGATAGTTTCTGGGCTTCAAAGTAGTGATGGGTCTCTATCCAAATAAAAGGCTGTAGTCATATAATATCCACCACAGTAGACCCCATAGCCCATGTGGTTGGACCATTGAAGTCTAAACTGGCCTGGACTTACCACTTGGATGTAGTGCATATGCAAGGCAGCACTCTTTTTCCAAATAAAATTTTAAAAAACTCGTGTTACTTGTCTCGATACTTTTGTCTTGGATATTAGATAAATTTGCAAGTAAAATTTATGAATTTATAAGTTAATCAAGTATAGTCCAGTCAAGAAGCAGAAGTGTTAAGATAAAGACAATGAGACGAATAATATTTTCTGAAATAAATTATAAATTATTATTATTACATTCTTACAATTTAATTAGTGAAAATCGAACTCTTTTAAACTTAGACAAGGAATTCTTAGTACTTTATGGGCATGAAAAATTGCATTTATGGATTGAATAAGTTGCTTAATTTGACTTTCTTATCTTAATTACTAAAGAGTGATGAACCACTACTTATTTTTGCGTTAAAGAGTTGACCAAAGTTAGTTTATATATCTGATAAGTTGCAGACTCACTGATCACATGTATAGAAGGATAGATCAAGGTTTGACAAAAGAATGATGCCACCTTAGTTTAATTTGGAATTGTCAACTATGTATGAGTATTGACTTACCAGCTAGCAGCATGTTTCTCAACTTCATACTTCTTATGATTAAAGAGTTAATTACAATAAAATAGTTTTAAAGTATACTATATATATATATATGTATATTTGATGATGATTTTCATGTTTATATTTGAAGATGTAACATTTGAACATGGAAATAACTTATCATATGAGTTTATCGGAAGTTTAATTATACCTTTCAAATTAAAATTTTTCAACTAATTCATGATGATTAAGCTAAAGGTATTGAGAACAAGAAGTCAAATTATTATCTATTTTGTTAAGTAAGGAAGGAAAACAAGTTCTACCAAGTAATTGAGATGTTAACTAGAAATTGCATTTATTATGAGATCATGTATGGCTCTTTTGGCTGCTTGTATTGGGGAGGAGAGACTTTACTTGCTTGGTAATGTTGGTGGTGGTTGCAATTTCAGTGCAAAGTCTCAATGAAAATTAATTAGAGGGGGAACAATGGGTCAAATAGACCAAATACAGTTTCCTACTTAGATAGGTACTTGGTCATCATCATGGACAAAATGTCATAATATATCCAGCTAAGGAAAGATAAAATGGTTGTTTTATGATAAGCTTCCCATCAACCCCACATGACTGAAGCAACATTGGCACATACTAACCTTATTATCACAGTGGTAAAGTATATGAGGGCAGCTTTTGCTTTGCCTGTTTTTCTGAGCCTCATGAATCCAAAATTCCCTGGCCTCTTGCGCCAGCATATTCATGTCTTTTGCACCTTTGCCTCTATTTCAAGATAAGAAAAAGAAAATCAACAATAATCAGTCCACGTTACTCTTTACGTTCGTATAGATACTTTTCGATACTTTTTGACTCAATAATAAATTAAAAACCATGAATTTTGATCCTAAGAACCAAAATAGCAAAAACCCAAAGTTCCAAATACCTTATAATTATTAACTGATAAGAAAAAAGCAATTGATGTATCTTGGTAGGTACCATTTGACAACTTGTGTAAACAGCTCTTTACAATGGCCCACGACTAATGGAACTTGAATAAATAATTGCCTCATCCTCTGTGGAAGCTTTGGTTGCACCAGAACTAACCACAAAGTACAATGTGGGAAGTGAGTGGCAAGGTTGTTGATGAGCAACAATCATTAGGACCCTCCTAATTGAAGTTGGGTAGAAATCTTTTATAATTATACAATTAATAGCATATATTAAATGAAAGCTATATTTGAACCAACAATCAAACTTTGGGGGTCCTGGGTAATTTGGAGGTAATTTTGATTGCAGAAGGCACCCACATCCTGGCATAATTTCATAATTTGGGGTAACAATTATAAACCCAGATTAGGTTCATTTACAAATATATTAGATTCATGCTAATTGGTGCATGATTCAGTTCCAAGAGAGATCCATCCACGTGAGTGAACATGAAGTAGTATGTGTATGGTATGGAAGTGAGTGCCTTGCAGTACTTGCTTGGCAGGGATGAAAGCTGCTGTAATTTTTGTGGTTGGCAATCCTGGAACAAGGAAGAGTGAGAGTGATTATTCTTTGCCCACCATCTCACTCTACAGACCAGAGTGAAACTGACAGCAAAGCAAAACATGAAAGGGAGAAAGTAAAGAAACGACCTCTCAACTAACGAACCTGTACAAAATACAACCTGAAATGAATTAAATTCATGAAAATTTGATGAATGCAACTGTCGGTCAGTGGGACCCATGTTCCATAAAAATATCATCAAAATCTTGTTTCCCTACTCTGCTTGTGATCCTGGAAACTTTCCCATATGCTAAAGCTAGCTTCATCAACCCTTTGCTGGCAACTGGCGAGTTTTTTCCTTCTGTTTTCTCTAGTTTCCATAATATGCAACATTCTTCCAAGCTAAAACAAGAAACAAAAGTACAAAAATGCAAAAAGAAGCAGCACAAGATCCAATGAAAAAACTTCCCAACAGCATAGCACTACATTACCTGAAAACCCCATGAGTTTCTTAAGCTTTTCCCATGTTTAGTCTGTCAGCACAACAGAAAAAGAATGACCCAGGTTCTGTAAGAGTAGTAAGGAACTGACAAAGGAAAAAAAAAAAAAAACTACTTCCAACAATGGATGAACTCAACCTATGAAGATTTAGAGTTTGCTTCTCTGTCCGTTTGTCTGTCTGTTTCTCCCTCTCTCTCTCTCTCAGGAACTGCTGGTATCTGTCTCAAGGCTTAACTATGGACTTCAGGACACGTCTTGATTATGCTTTGTTCCAACTCACCCCGACTAGAACCAGGTAAGTTTATTTGGTTCTTTGATTTTGCATCAAGTATAAAATATGTGATTTTGGTTTTCTTTTTTATGTGCTCTTTCATCTGAGAAAGTTGGCGCTCGTTTTGTGTCTGAAATTGAAGGTGTGATCTGGTGATTTTTGCTGGGAAAGAGAATGAGAAGTTGGCATCAGGGTTGTTAGAACCGTTCATTTTACACCTCAAAAGTGCTAAAGATCAGATTTCAAAAGGAGGGTACTCTATAACCCTTCGTCCATTGGGCTCAACTCCTTCCTGGTTCACAAAGGGCACCCTGCAAAGGTAAATTCAGGAACAGAATTGTTGAGTGATTTTTTGTTACAGATGGACAAGGTGTTCTATAAGCTTCGTTCGGAAATATGGAAAGATCTAGCAACAATTGTTGTTGAGCCTTTATGTGGAATTGCCATAATTGGCAATTGTTGTTGAGTGTTTGTGACTTAGCCAGGGCATTGGATTATTGGGTTTAGGTCCATTATGCTATAGTGAGGTTTTTTTTTTTTCTGTAATAATATTGAATCGCCTCATCATACACTACGCTGTGGTGAGGTTGTAACAGATTGGATTCCAAGGCACTCAATTAGAAAACTTGGATGATTGGTCAATTCAAAAATGTTTGATAACTCTACAGAATCATTTTTTGAATTTGGTATAATCTGTTGACTGAACTCTTGAATGACTGCATTTCAGTTAATCAGTATTTACAGATATGGTAATATCTTAGTTAATTTCCATCTTTTGGTGGTTGGGGGATCTTGTTTTCGTTCGTTGCATTATTAACTCGGTTAATGCTCTTTATGTTTTTAACAGGTTTGTGAGGTTTGTTAGCTCACCAGAGGTTCTTGAGAGATTTGTGACAGTGGAGAGAGAGATTGAACAGATTGATAATTCAATTCACTCAAATGAAGCAAATGCTGCTGGGGCAACAGAGGCAGATGGTATGTTTGGACCTTAAGTTTACGATGTTTGTGTCTGTAATCAAGCTGCAGCATTGAACCTTTTCTTTTCATGCAATTTCACATATTTGTTTATGAAATTCATCAATTTGTAATGATTGAGTTCCATGTGTGGGAATAATAGCAGCTGGTCATTCAATTGAAAAGGGGAATCTTCACTGCAGATCTTTAGATTACGTTAGAGTATGTCCTTTAAGCCCTGGGCTAAATGCTAATGCAGAAAATTGTATGATTTCATCCAATTTGGAATTGACAGGAAATGAGTCAGTTATTTCAGGAAATTTCCAAAAGTCAATTTCTTCATTTAAGGTATGTTCTGCCTTCTACCAAACATTGTTTCGTTTTGTTTCCTTGATAGCTCACATCTTAATTCCAGACTTCTACTATGATGCTGCATTTAGTCAAAAGGTGAATTCAATGGAACTGCTGATGCTGTGCAGGAAGAAAATTCCAAGTAAATACCTTGTCCTGCACTTCGCTATATTACCTTCATTTTACTGTACATTTCTATTAAAATGTTGTTATTTGCTTAATGGGGTTGACATGCAGGGCTCGTCTTCAACGAGTTCTGGAAACTAGGAAGAAAGTACTCTGCAAAGAACAAGCGATGGCTTATGCTCGTGCTTTGGTTGCTGGATATGAACCTGATAATATAGAAGATCTCATATCTTTTGCAGATGCTTTTGGAGCTTCACGTTTAAGGTATAGAAGGCCACTGTGGAAATGGAAATGATTTTCATCATTAGGAGCTAGGACTGTTTTTCTAGTGATAAAACTCAAGCGAATGTGTTGGCTATTATGAACAATAGACAGAATTGGAGCTTACTGGTGTATCTTTTTCTCATCAAAAAAGACACTTATTCCAAAAAGTTGCAGCATCAGACACTTGAAGTTGAAGCTAAAGTTGATGGCAGCCTAGTTCACCCATGTCCAACACTTGGATAGACAATTGCTGGAAAATTTGTGTGTTTTTACGATATTATAAATCCAAAATGAAGGACCACGTATCTTCAAGTTTATTTGACTTTTAATTTTTCTTTTAATCTGCATATGGTTGCTGTTTACTTGCTTTCATTTGTCACATAGCCATAGACAATTGTGTTGGAACTTTCCTTCCACCATTTGAAATTTTAAAGTCCATTTATTTTTTTTCAGGGAAGCTTGCATAAATTTCATGGACCTATGCAAGAGAAAGAATGAAGATAGGCTTTGGATGGCAGAATTAGCAGCTATGCAAGCATGTCCAAGACCAGACTTGTCTTACCTTGGAACATCAGGAATCATACTTGCTGGGGAAGAAAATGATCCTAATCAAAATTTTATGATAAATTTCTCAAGCGGGAAGGAAAATGGTTCTGCTGATGCCTCTGATGCCGGGAGTGGAGATAATAACCCAGGTATGCCACTTCTGCCTCAAATGATGAGCTATGAGTTCCTATAATCGCTTATGTAGAGTAGTTCACTGCAATGAACTACTACTTCATGCTTTGACATCTTTTAACATCATCTACAGGTGGTAGCTTGCCATCTGCAGATGGTAAAGCCCAAGTACAAATGCCATGGCCACCCCATCTTCCTCAGTACATGCATAATTTTCAGGGTCCTGTATTTCAACAAATGCCTCCATATCAAGGCTACCTTTTTCCAGGTATGCATGCTGCCTCTCCATATTATCCAGGGAATATGCATTGGCCTCCAAATGTAGAGGATTCTAGTCTTGGTCGTGCTTGGGAACCAGATGATCGTAGAAATCATAAATCATCTTCTAAGAGCAAGAAGAAATCTTCACGTGGTAAGGGAGATGAAACTTCAAAGCAAGATGAATCCACTGAGCCTAGTGATTCCAGCTCTGAGAGTGAACCAGAAGAGCAGGTGCATAAGAAAAAGCATGGAAAGAAATCCTCAAGAAAGGTTGTCATCCGTAACATTAATTACATTTCTTCCAAGAGGAATGGGGAAAAGGGCAGTGATTCTGAAGAGACTTCTGATGAGGGGGAGTTCATTGATGGAGATTCTCTCAAACAGCAAGTAGAGGAGGCTGTTGGATCACTGGGGAGACATCATAAATCTGCTTCACGTCATCAGAAGAAACATGATGGAAGCAAGCATCGAAACTCTGTTTCATATGATGAAGAAGAACAGGAAGCTGAGGCTTCTAATGCAAAAAATTCTGAGGGAGCAAAAAGAAACAGCCCCTGGGATGCTTTCCAGAACCTTCTGTTGCAGGACAAGGATTTGGATTCCTCAGAAGTAGATCGACAACCAATAAGGTTGCAAGAGGAATATTTTGCAAGCAAGGGCTCTGAGGACGGAAGGTCATCAGCATTTAACCCGAACTGTGAGCGAGTAGCAAAGCAAAAATCAATGTCAAGTGATCCCTTTCTGGCCACACAGATGGATAGGGGTCATGAAGGTGAAACTCGAGGTGGAAACTTTGGAACTAACGAATTTGGTGGCCCGCTTTTTAAGAGGAGAGAGAGCACAAATGAGGAGTTGTTAATTCTGCAAGGTAATGATTCTGGGATTAATTCACGAGCTTTTATCTCTGATTATACCACGGAGTCTACTATGATCAAAAGTCGCAAAGAAGGAGAATGGTTTATCAACAACCAACTGGATAAATCAGCAAATCAGGATGAGATCATGGGCCTCAAAATGTTTGATGGGGATAATGCTTCTTCATTGGCTCGTGACCGCTTCAAATCTGAGACAAAGAAGAATGATGTTTTCGCTGATGACTCTTTCATGATTCAAGGTCCATCAGTGGGAGATGATCAATCTGATTCTCAGTTAAGGATAGGTATAGGCATGGTTCCAGAAATTGAAGCTACTCAATACGAAAATGGCAATTCAGAAAATGTACAGAAGGCTGCTTCAGTTTCCTATGAGCCAGATGACCTTTACATGATGCTTGGGCGTGATTCAGCTGAGGGAAATGCCATGACTTCTTGGACTCGAGAAATCGACTATGAAATGAACGTATTATCTGCTGAAGCGAATGGAAGACACTCTGATGTTGAAACAACTGGTGCTGATGACAAGAGTGCTAATGGTAAAAACCGTGGAAGTTCTGAGCGGAAACTTTCAAATAAAGAAGTTCGTTCTAGAGTTCCCAATGGATCTCTTGTCAAGAGTAAATCACACATAGCAGCAAAGACCAGGAAACCTCCAGCTGGAAGCAGAACCACAGTATGGAAAACTAAATTTGATCAGGTATTTATCGACCTTTGGGTTCTAGTTGGTTCCCTGACAGAAAGAGGGAAAGTAGACTGCAATACTCAAATGTTGCTAAGAGTTTTGATGCATTGCTTTATTTTACTTTCATTTTCTTTCTTGGAACCATCCAAAACAACAAGAGAGTGTATGCATTTGCATTTTCCAATTGTGTTTGACACCATATAATGCTTATGATGCCTTAGCACATATATATTTCCAATTGTCTTGTGCATTAGAAAGTCGTAATGCGGTTCATATACAGTATAAGATGTTGCATAATGACATCTGTTTCTGATTTCTGGTCCTTGCCTTTCTATTTTCACATAGGAAGAGGAGAATCGAAAGAAAATAGAGGAGTTACGGATTCAGCGCCAGAAGAGGATTGCTGAGAGGAGTGCTGCTAGGGGTGCTAATCCACTTGCTTCCAGGAGGAGCTCCACAGAAAATAAAACTTCAACGATTTCCTTGAAGAGTCAACCTTCGACTCAGGACACTAAGAAATCACCAAAGCCAGTCCTTAGAAGTTCCACTATAGAACGCCTTGCAACTGCAAGGAATACTTCAAAGGCCTCATCAGCTGAATCAAAAGCCAGCCAGCCCAAAAAGTCAACCTTGAAGGAAAATGGTTCTTCAACAACAGTATCTCAGAAGACTGCTCGTGTTGAAGACAAGGAATCAAGCTCAAACAAAGTCAGAGCTTCAGATAAGAAAAGTGGCCCAAACAAAGTACTTTCCAGTGACTCTGTTGCACTAGGAAAGGACTCCAAAGAGGTCACAGTAGCATTGCCAATGGAGCCAGCAACACCCAAAGAAACTCAACCTACTGACATTGTTGATGATTTCAAAGACATTCAGGAGTTGCAGAGTACTTCAATAGAAAAAACTGAAGAAAAGGAAATTTCTCAAAGAAACACATCAGAGGACAGAAGCTCCAATGGGAATATGCTTAATGAAGATAAGCCAGTGCAATTAGATCATGTAAAAGGTGACGAGGAATTGACTAAGGCATCTACTGTTGTTTCTGAAGACAAAAGAGCCCCAGAAGATTTTGTTGAAGATATTCCCGAGATGACAGTTCATCCCTTGCCACCACCGCCTGTAAAGACTGTTAAGTTTGCCACGGTAAATATAGAAGGGAATGGTGGAATGAATGAAAAGTTTCTGTCACCTAGGATTTCTGAAATAGAGATCTCAACTCCGCCGCCAAATGATGGGATGAACGCAGAACCAGTGCACTCCAGGAAGAAATGGAACAATGATGAAACCTCTCCTAAGGCAGCCAAAGGTTTTAGAAAGCTCCTTTTCTTTGGACGAAAAAACCGAAACTCTCCTACTTACTGATTTCATAGACCTAGTTAATTCTTGCTAGCAGTTTAGTGTGTGCTTGTCATTCCATAATGCCTCTGCTTCAGGTTCCAGGTTTTCAAGAGCTGCAGGTGGAACATATCAATAAGGCCTTTGGTGTTGTTGCCATTCAAGGATTCATGATATTAAAATGAAAAAAAAAAAAAGGATTCATAATGTAATTTATCTTTGTTTGATATATCTTGCTGTAAGGGTTTAAACACATTCTTTTTGTTTGGTATGCCTTTGTAATCTGCACTTGTATACACATTTGAGTCATTTTTGAATCATTTGTAATTTTTATTCAAATCTTTGATTCTATGATCCATATGAAGACCTGTAATCTTTCTTAGTAGGTGGACTCTAAAAGGTGTTACCCATGCTAACTAGTCAATCCACTGATTTCAAAAAGTACAGATAAAAAGCTGTATCTTCGACTTATTAGCACTTCCATTAAAGCATCCAACAAGCTGTATGTGCTACAATCTACAATGACATTTCCTGAACAGATGAGTAACTCCTCTTCGAAACAAGTAGTCATCACTTGTCCTCTAAATTTGAAACAAATGAGAAGTTTTTTTGTCATCTATACTCTGCCTTGAGATCCTTTAAGTCTAGCCACTAGATTTTCATACTCTGGGAGATTCGGATGCACATGACTTGAGCCAGAGGAATTCCCTTCTTGTGCTTTCCATTTATCGAGTGAACCATCTAAAGAAAGACGACCATTTGCCAAAACCTTGCAGTTTTTCCTTCTTAAGGGATCCTCCATGAAAGAATTGTGATATCTACTTTCAGGAGTCACAGATCTCCTGGTTGAACGCGTGACAGTCAAACCTTTTGTCACATAATTCTCACAGATGCCAGTTTTCTTCAGTTCCAAGTCATCAAGATACACAATAGATGTTTCATAAATTTGAGGTGTAGAACTATCTAACGAAGTCCTGGTTGATGAAACTTCAAGCTTCTCAACTAAAGCTGCTCTTTTTGTAATCTGAGTAGAGCTATAGTAGCCATTCGAGTTAATGCAAGATTGGCTTGGAATGGCTGCCAAAGTTTTACAACATGACAAATCGTTCCTTGGCTTCTCATACTCAGAAAGTTGTATCCAATGCTCATCAATGTCACTGGAAATATCTTGCATTTCAATATCCAGCACTTCAGCTTTCTGCTCAGAGTAGCATTTCTCATAAACCTGAAGCTGCAACCCAATGAAAAACCTGGGTATCAGTCTGTAAAACAGATTAGTAACATAAAAACAAGAAATGCAAATTCACATCAGAATTTTCTACCGCGAACCTACATCAGGATCCTGAAACACAAGAGGAAGATCACACTCTTTAGCTATTTCATTAATTAACTTCTGCTTCATGTTATCTGGTACTGAAGTGATGCATAGATTCTGCTTAATCTGAAAATTCACTAGATTCCCTGGTCGTAGTTCCACATTCGCCAGCACAAATTTGCAACCATATCGCTCCTTGAACAGGCTTCGTAATAGATGTAGCTCAGGCAGTTCACCACACCTAGAGGCAGCAAAAACTAGACTTGACACAGCTTCAGTAGCATCTATTGGCAATGTGTGCCAGGAGCTGCAATAATAAATTGTAACACTTTTGAAAAATTGCAAGATACTTAAACAAGAATAAACATGATTTATATGCACAGCAGTTGAAAAACTTTAGGTAGTTTGGAAGTAACAACATCAAGTTCAAGGTTATGTACCTTTGCTTGGTAATATGGGAAATGTTGGAGATGATGCATCCACAAAATTGTTCAATCTGATCATAGGCACACAACAGGCACTGATCTTTATAGAGCTGTATAACCTGAAGATTACAAGGGAAGTAAGTTATCACAGAACAAAAAATATTCTCCAAAATCATGTGCACTTCAGAGAAATATACTATTGAATGTTTATGAAGCCCAAATGCTACATAGAGCCATCAACTAAGCAGAACACTTCAAGGAAATCTAAGGAAATTGACAAAAAGAACATGGTGCAATACATATTAAAGAACAGGTTAATGAGAGAAACATACCCTTTCCAAGGCTCTTTGAAGCAGCCCACCTTGGAGGAATTGGGCAATATCACCCCTTGACTGCCTTATGATAGACTCCCTCCTATTCCTCAGTATAGTTATATGACCTTGAACTTGCTTGATCAGGCTCTTGCTGCAGAATAAGGAGGAAGTCACATGTCCAACACCAAAACTAATCTAGATATCCTTGATAAAGCCAACAAAATTCACCATTTGTGCTGTTATTATTGTACATAAAGCTTTTGAAATTTATTGACATGAACAGCTTACAAAACCTATCTTATCCCTGACATCAGAGACAAGCTTGAACGGTACTGTCTAACTATATATTTCACCATGCTGATACAAATTGTCTAACAATTAAGTACTGGGATTCCTGCTATAAGGTTAGCACAGACACATAAGAAGTTAAGAAAAAGACATGGTTTGTAAAAAGAATCAATAACCAAACAAAGATCACTTAAAGCTGCTGTCTGTCAATACCATTTAGCTGCTTTTCTCCACCTTCCCCCTCTAGTACATGCAAACACAGCTTTTATGGCACCCACCCACATTTCCAACAAAAAAAAAAAATACAATTTTTGCAGATCAAACAAAGAATTTGCAAATAGAATTAAAAAATAAAGAATGTGTCTTACCCCACTATGGTTATGCTAGTATATATATTTGTATCACTCCTTTAGTGATACAAATAAATATGGAATGTATATATACATGAGTATGTACACATTTATAACATCAAAGATTAAATACAACAAATAATCCCAAGCTTACCATAAATAAAAAATTAAGAATATGAAAATTCACTATTTTCCATATTAGGGTCATGTAGTTACCATGAAACATAGGTTATGTTTCTCATACAATCTTTTAGGAATTAATATTTCTTAATTGTGTCTTCTTCTTTCCTATTCTTTTTTATTGTTTTTTTATGAATCAAAAGATATTGAAAACAAATCAATTAATCATTTATTAATTTTTGAAAAATAATGTCAGTAATTACCAACGTTTGATATTTTATAACTTTGTTAGGAGAGATTCATGATGAGCAGCAATTTTCCCATTACAAATGGAACTTAAAATGGAAAGTAATTTCTGAAAAATCTAAAATTATGATAAGATAATTATGAGTGTTTATTACCCAAAAATCAAATCAATCATGTAATTTTACATGTTCATCAAATCATCATGGCAGACGATCCTGACCATTGCCTTTACAGCAGTCAAGACATTACATTTCCACAACGTGGCAAAATCTTATTGGCTGGAAGCTAGAGAATGATCTGTGCCCAGACTGTACTCTATGACAAAAAAAACCATTTTCTCTGTTTTTGTTGTTACCTTTATTATTTTATTTCGTCGGTAATACGCACTCCTTAATACGTCGCCGTATGAGGTAAGAAATCAGATTTGTACACGTGTCAAGCAAACGAAAGGTTTGTGATTTTGACGCCTTTGCGTGGTAAAAGCATCGAGTTCCCTTCACCGACAGGCTGTTCACATCAAAATCTTCACATTAATGTGGACCATATTAAATTCATGTATTATAAATTTTTTATATTTTATAAAATACAAAATTCAACAGTTTATTGTTACCATTTGGTAGTTATAAGTTGTATTTTTACAAAATGCCATGTAGTGTGTGCACGAGAAAATAATGCAACACGAGAATTTATCAAAAAATTATTCATTTTAATATTAGTTTCGTCTAAACTTGTTTAAAAATTTTTAATGAAATTTGATATATTCGTGTTGATATAATTACATTTAGATATTATTATTTACTAAAAACCCTTGATTTTATTACATATGATTTATCTTGATAATGAAACAAAGAATTCTCAATAAAATTGAGAAAACAAAATGTTAAAAATTAAAAATTACATTGCAATTATACTTTACTTTAGTTGGTACAAATTCTTTTTCATGAAACCTAACAAATATCCCTTCTCAATCTTTTTTCCTTTTAAAGTGTGCAATATAAGCTCTAGATGTTGGTACCTTACGCTACAAAAAGTTGTACTCCAATATTCCTTTTGAGGATTCCAAAAGGTAATTAATTATGGCGGGTATTTATTCCCTTTCTACCTAAAGGAGCCTTCCACCTAACTTCGCTTCCCCAACAAGGCATCTCCCCCTGCAATCACCAAAGTACCTTGTGCTTTATACTCTTGTACATTCGCTTCTCAAGATGCCCAAATTACCCTTTTAACTAACTTCTCCCTCCAAGAAATAAAACCCTTGCTTTAAGTTACTTGTACGTTGTGCTTTAATCGGTTGTACTCGTATCCAATTTTTTTAATAATCGAACCGGTGTTGGAACCGGTTCAACACGTTGTATTCTAATGGTGTTTGCAAAGCTGGTGAAAACCCCATTGTCAAGCTATGGTGAGATGTCATTTTCTGCTGAAAATTACATTATAAAAAATTGTGTTTTTTTCCCATAATTTTTATGTTCATTTTAATCATTTCATTGCTTCTACAATACTGATAGTGATTTTTGTATATTTAGAGAGGGAGAGTTTGAGAGAGAAAGAGCAAAGCAAAGAGAAAGAAGGAAAGAGAGAAGCCAGAGAACAGAGAAGGGAAAAGGGAGCTAGATCTTGTTGGGTTATTGAAGCTAGCTCCATACATTCATGGCTTCCAAGTTACTCTTGATTGCTGTCTTTGTTCTTGATCTCATTGCATTTGGTTTAGCTATTGCAGCTGAGCAAAGAAGAAGCACTGTGAGTTTTACTTTCCCCTACACTTTCTTGATGCATTTTTTGGTTGACATAAGTTTATATAATTCCTGGGTTTATTCTTGATAAAAATGAAGATAAATGTAGAAATACAGTGGTAATCGTTGATTTAGCTTTCTGGGGTTGTTAGCTGTATGAATGAAATTGTTGCTTCTCACAATGTAGAGAGAGAAAGATATTTTTCCTCTCTCTTTTTCCTGGTTTTTGGCTGAGGAAGAAAGAAAAGAACTGATTTTTCTAGTTTTTAGTAATTTGATAAATGTTTAATTGTTATGTTGCTTACTCACATGTAAATCTGCTGCTTTTGTTGCTTAAAGAAACTTCCTTTTCATCTTTTGGCTAAGAAAGAAAGGAAATGACTTGATCTTGGTCTTGGGCAATAAGGGTAGTTTGACAACATAGTCTTCAAGCTTGAACCCTCTTTTTTTTTTATTGATTTCCTTCATATTATTCTCCTTTCAGCAAAGAAACAGCAGGGAAAATACTATTTTATCAGTTACAATTCTCAATTGTGTAAAAACTTATCAGATCTTAGCAAAATTTCAGTGAAAATTGTAGATCTCTGTGTTTTTTTCAACCTAAGCAATGGTATGGGGTGTTGGGGGTTGTGGATCTAACGAAAGAGCTTGTCTTTGGTAGATTTAGAGGCAAATCCGATTTGTCTTCGGAGCAATATTTTGTGAGCAGAGGAAGTAGCACCTGATTTATGGTGGTGACTTATTTATTATTAAGAACCAAGCATCAAGATGATTGAATTAGTCTACATTAGTTAGAGATGACATGAAATGTAAAATCATTGTATTTTGAACCTTATATGCTAGTATAATATAAAGTTTAATGGGTGATCTTCAAATATGTTAACACGTTCAATTATTAAAATCATATAAATACATGAGTTTTCATAAATCAAGTGTGGCAATGAAAAGATTAAAATACTTTCTAAACCAGGAACAACTGGAAAGCAATTACTTTTGTGCCTGATGTTATATATTTCTTCCAACTACTACTAGCTCCATTTGTTCCCAAACCCCTTGACAGTGGGCAATGGGTACAGGTTTATCTGGGTTCATTTGACCATCCAACTTGGCATCAGGCTGGATGGGGGTTGTAAAATTTTTTCTGTTTATTGAAAAGAATTGTTAATTTTGTTTAGAGGGAAAGTGACTGCTAACCTAAAGGCATCAACTCCTGTTCAACAAGGAGTTTTTGAATTCACCTGCCCTATATAAAAATGCAGCTAACTTATGGTGTATCTTTGTGCAGGCCAAGATTGTCCAGGACAGTGAAGTTAATTATAACTATTGTGTCTATGACTCAGACATAGCAACAGGCTATGGTGTTGGTGCATTTTTGTTCCTTATGGCTAGTCAAGCCCTCATAATGGTTGCAAGCCGATGCTTCTGCTGTGGAAAGGCTTTAAACCCCAGTGGCTCAAGGGCTTGGGCAGTTATCCTTTTCATAGTGTGCTGGTACGTGACAAACAATTCACCCAAACTACTGATTGTTGGCTTCAAATCTCAATGACTGCAGACACATCTATATTTACTTTGTAGATTTGATTGGATCAACTGATATTCTTGGGATTGCCTGTGACAGGTTGTTTTTCCTAATTGCTGAGATATGCTTGCTGGCGGGTTCAGTGAGAAATGCCTACCACACCAAATACCGGACCATATTCAGCGAGCAGCCTCCTTCTTGTGAAACTGTGAGGAAGGGAGTTTTTGGTGCAGGGGCAGCTTTCATTTTCTTAACTGCCATAGTCAACAAGTTCTACTATATTTGCTACTCCAGTGCTAGGGAGAACAGCTTCCAGGCTTATGGTGGAGAGACCGGTGTGGGTATGGGAACCTACAAATAAATCATGGTTGAAAATGGGATTTATCTTATTGCAGTAGATGTGACTATATGGACTCTATGCCATCAATTTGCTTACTCCATTGTCTGTTCTTTTTTTGAGTTGCATTTCATGTGCTAGGGGTTCCATATGGTAGGTGATAGATTGTACTTTGTGTCAGATTCATAAATTTTTTTCTTTCTTTTTTCCCCATTCCAAGATATTGTAAAATTTTTTGAAGTTTCTTTGTATACGTATCAATAACAAAAGTATTGTTTGTGTTCCAATCCGACATGATCTTCATGTAATTCCAATACAATATCTATAAGCTATCACCAATCTCCGGAAGAATTGCTGTTTGTCATTCCTACTATCGATTTTGTCATACAACAATGTCGCAATGTTGACTTAACTCTCAGATAAGATAGCAAATCGCATTACGATTGTTATTCACCATATATTTCTTTTATCAGTTAATTTGGTGGAGTTTTTTCCATTGGATTTGCCTGCATGGGAAAAGAATATGGTTAAACATTTTTTTTTCTCAATCAAATCCAGTATCCCAACTAAAATCAAAGATGATCAAAACATACTGTACAAACGAAAACCCGTCAAAGTTTTATCGATAGAAAAATACTTAAAAATCAAATTTAAATTATAAATCATATCATCACATAATGAACATATTACTAATGAACTAACAACAGAACATAACATACAACTACAAACATCTCACACCGTAAACATAAAACCTAAAACAAAGTCATCACCACAAACATTAACTTGAATGAGGTTAAAGATGATAAGAATCAATTTGTATGGTTAGATAAGAAGTACTGCAAATCAAGTCGTTTGAAACCATTGTTCTTTAACTAACATTAAGCTTGATGAAATAAGAAAAATAGAAGAAAACAAAATGATGGTAGAAATTGCAGCACCATGTCTCTTTACTAGGAGAAAAAGTATGAGACCCTTGTAC